TTTGTTTATTGCCATAGCAATAACATACTAAATTTTTTCGACATTTGGACAAGTAGAAGCAAAGTTATAGCGATATAAGCGATTTTTTAAATTCTTCCATAGTAATTCCCATACAAATTTCAAATCATTGGCGCGACCTCTAAACCTTCATCAATCTTTACCAATTTTTGCACAGGTTCATATTTTGGGGCTATGAATCGAACTGGAGGGTGGCCCATCAGAAATTCATCACTTTTTTCAGAATGAAGCACCCTAATGTACACTTACAAAATTTAAACCATGGCTCCGCAAAGCTTTCACAAATAACCCTCATTTATGAACAAATTAAAAATAATATGATTTACACATTATTCAAAGTAATAGTTACTATAATCAAACGATTATATCAGCAGTTATAACATGTTATCAATTGTCTTAAATACCATAACCAAGCTTATCAAACTAAGTGTAATATTACAGATTTATCATACATGACGCCATAGCTGCAGGCAAAAGAGCAAAACAAAATTTGAATTTTTGAATCGACTGTTTCCGATTTGTTATGGGTAATGATTCTCATTTTTTTCCTTAATTTGGTTATTTTGAATATTTTAATGTTTTCAAAATGACGCCCTTTAATTTTTTTAAATATTGAAGCACGGACACGGCATTCGTGATAACCGTTGGGATGAATAGAAGAATATGGAGGATTTGTCATCCCGAGTTGATATAAAACGTTCATCAGTGGAGAAATAATTGCCAACTCCGTGAAATTCAAAACGTTCATTTTTCGACAGGGGAATTAGCATCTTCACAATTTATATCCACGATAGTGGGCTTTCACCAATTATGAACAACTATTTGAGCAACTTGTAGTCTGAGAAATATATGAGCTTTTCTCATGAAACTCGACAACTTCACGAATTAGTTACATGGGTCTCCCCCAGGGCTCATGTTTAAGCCCCCTTCTTTATAATTTTTATTTTTTGTTGTTTATTAATTTATTTGATAAGGCTCAACCGAATAAGCTTTACAGAGCCGAAGATTCTTGGTCACCATACAATACGTCTTAAAACTATAGTCAAAAGGTACAACACAATAAACACTTTATCTTCCGCTATCCAAAAAGCCTCCTCCATCAGAACTGGAGCCGCTTCCAGTAGTTTCATTGTATGGCAAATTTCTGTACGCCAACGAGGGTCAGAGCGCATCCATTGCAGCAATGGACGCAAAAAGTGGTCAGCACTCACACACTCATCACGAAACAGTTGCTTTCCAAAGTCGACGACACATCGACCAAAAGAACTGCTGATGAAGAACAATGAGGAGGACCACACAATGGTTGCTGCCGAGAAAACAGACGATCACGTAGTACACATCGAGAGTGGCCTGCTTTTGTCGACAGCCGAGTGAACACTGTTATAATTTTTATGTAAAAGACATTGATGGTTGTCTTGATGAAAATTGCTTGCTAAGGCAGCTTGCAGATGACGACGTTGTGTCCGTTATAGGGCCAAGAGCACCGGACCTGCAAGGACCATTGCAAGATACCTTAGATAATTTGTCTACTTGGGCTATGAAGCTGGATATCGAATTCTCTCCGGAGAAAACTGAGTTGGTTGTTTTTTCTAGGAAGCAACATCCTGCACAGTTACAGCTTCAACTAAAGGGTAGAACAATCACTCAAAGTATATCTTTCAAGTATTTAGGTGTCTGGTTCGATTCCAAATGCACGTGGGGAAACATATTGCGTATCTTAAACAAAAATGCCAGCAAAGGATTAATTTTCTTCGTACAATTACCGGAACTTGGTGGGGAGCCCACCCGGAAGATCTGATTAGGTTGTACCGAACAACCATCCTTTCGGTTTTAGAGTACGGCAGCTTTTGCTTCCAATCCGCAGCAAAAACACACATCCTTAAGCTGCAACGGATTCAATACCGTTGCCTTCGTATTACGCTAGGCTGTATGCACTCGACTCATACGATGAGCCTCTAAGTACTCGCGGGTGTTCTCCCACTGACAGATCGTTTCGCTGAGCTGTCTTTCCGGTTTCTCATCCGTTGTCAAGTAATGAATCCTTTGGTAATAGAACACTTTGAGAAGCTGCTCGACCGAAATCCTCAAACAAGATTCATGAGTTTGTACAATGAGTACATGACGCTGGAGGTTGGTCCTTCTTCATTAATCTCCAATCGTGATTGATTTCAAGCCTTCTATAGTTCCTCTGTAAATTTAGTTCTGACTATGACGCAAGAAATCCGTGGAATACCAGATCAACATCGGTCGATGGATGCTCCCTCGCACTTCTATCGAATTGGGCTCTCAGACAGCAATTTATGTGCGTGTGGCAGTGGTTATCACGATATCGAGCATGTTGTTTGGTCATGTACCTTACACCGTGTTGCCAGATCTGAGCTATCCACATCCCTCAGGGCCCGAGGAAAACAACCCGCGATACCCGTTAGAGATATCTTGGCGAGCCGAGACCTCGACTATTTGAATTTAATTTATATGTTTTTAAAACGGATAGATTTGAGGATTTAGTAGTTAGTGTCATCTTGTGTTCTCCCAAGTTGTTAGCTGCCCATCGGTGTACCCCCATGTTTGCCTATTTCATCAGAGTGTCGCCTAGTTCGAGATCAAGAGCACATTGTTCTCCAAACCTTGTGTTCACAATCCCTACCCTGCCATCCATTTGTTACAATTTGTTACCCCTAACCTCGAGATAGCCGCGAGTAATCGGCCCCCGCTTTACTAACGTTAGTTTTAAGTAATTTTTTTATCTAAACAATGAATATCGGCTCCGCAAAGCTACAGCAAATGAGTCTGGAAAAATAAACGAATTATTAAAATAAAATTAAATAGTAAAACTCTTATTATTAATTTGATCAGAATACTCTAGGTCGCCTATTATTCCAAATGACCATCATACATCCATTTTGTTCAATGGCTTAAAGCCAAACGACATTATGCCAAAGGTGGCACAATCTAAAATTTGATAGAAATTATCTTAATTTTTATTTGATCAATTGAACCTATATAGAGAAGGTTTTGCATAAAAAATTATTCATTAACCAATTTTTTTATTTCACTGAATGTCGTAGAAATTTGTTATAAATTAACTTTTTCAAAAGATTTTGAGACTCATTTAACTCGAAAATCGTGAAAAGTTTTACACGCAATATTCGAAGAGAAAATGGTTATTTTCTTTTTGCCCCATTAAGGGATGGCCCTTGACAGAAGGGGTTATGTTTCCCTGGTTGGTAATTTATTACTGCGGCCATTTATTTGAGCTGTAAAAGTTTAAAACATAGCTAGAGGCATCAAGTTCCGATACCATTAGTTGAGAGCAATCCGAGCAGAAGAGAATATCGAACCAGTAGCAAGTTTTGCTTTAAAAAAAAAACAGATAATCAGAACAAAACAATTTTGATATGATTTTGTTTTGCTTGGGAATAAAAAGGACAATGCTGTCTTCCAAGTTAATCCAAACCTGTATTCTAATATTCTCCAACATTGATGTCAATCGCAATATCCAATGCTCCCTACAACTCATCGTCTCTCGCAAAATCCATACAATCACTCATCAGCCAATGGCAATCCAAATGCCAACAAGGTCCCCATTCCCTTGAATGCACCCTGGAGAACCCTCCACCAAAGCTAGCCAAGCCGAGCTGAAAACCCCCCGAACTGCAAGTATGAAAATGATAAATGTTGATGCTATTAGTGAATTATTAAACAATTAATTTATAACCCTTGCTCATTTTCCGTCCATGGATCCGGTCCGACTCACTCACCCTTTCGTGACAGACGACGATACGGATGGATGGCAATTTCGGGCTGTGACCAACAACATAGACAATATTGGAAAACACGCACCGTGTAGTTAGCTTGTTCTGTCCCCCATAGGCGCGCCACGATATGAAATAGCGCCGGTCGCTCGTTGGCCTGCAGCGGACGGAATTCAGAGTAACGACGTTAAATCTACGCGTGTTTGCGCTCATTCGAAGTGAAGTTCACTTTTGTTCCCAGACCGGTCCAGGACCAACCGGACGGGAATTGGACGGTTCACTTCCGGTACTGGTTTCCGCGAGTCAGTTCGTTTCGCTCCGCGCGCGGTTCAGTTGATGTTTAATTAAATGGAATTAATTCGTACTCGTGTTTTCGGCGGTGGTTTTCAAACTGGAGGAGCCCAGAGAGCAGTGATTCGCATTTTGCACGACGAATGGGTGGGTGGCTAGGTACCAAAAAAATCTATCCCATGTTGAGGCTAAATTTCTCATTCGAGACGGCAAAGTTCAGATTAATTATTACCAACCGGGTGGACGACGACGGCTTGTCCCAATTGATGACGCGACCCCAAATAAGCCATCGCAGTCAGTCGTGCGAAACATGCTCATCAAATGTGTTTGATTTCAGACTGGTGGCATGGGATGTTTTTTCATCGATGAATAGATTGAACGGCAAGAAAGGGTACTGGCAATTATGAACTGTGTAGATACTAGAACGTTTCAAATCAACGAACTGGTGGAATTTCGGTTCGTTGATGATGATGATGGCCCTTGAAAGTTGAGCTCTGTTCCAGTTGAAAGCCACAACTGAAAGGAATGTGCACCGCAGAGATATTTTAATTGAAATTCCCGCCATTGGAAACTGTAGTCACTTTGCTATAACTCTGGGAATGTCAGTTATTCGGTCTGGGTGAATGTTTGCTGAATATTATGCCAATGCTCGTATTGGTTTTCTAGTTTGGGGGCGTTCTAAATGCAGGAGCCGTATTGTTTAAAGTGAAAAATTGGCAGCCAACCAAATTGAAATTTTGCTAAATTTAGAGCCAATGTTAAGATTTGTTTGGATTTTACCTTAAACAAAAACCGCAATTCGCCTCCCGCGGCAAGCTTACTTGCTATCTCACCATACATTAACAACAACAGAAAACTAGTTTCAATTCCGACCATAAATCGATTCTAACAGAGACTACTCCATCTTTTACACCTCCGTCCACCCTTCTCCTACAGAGTCGGACGACTCCCCGGGAATGTACCTTCGGGATGATTTTCTCGGTCGGCCCACGGAACTACGTGCCCCGACGGCGGAACGTGCCGCACTCTTCCTCGATCTGGCACTGTCCGGCCGGGCGCAGGGCTGCAGCAGTAGCAGTAATTTCGAACCGGCTCTAATTTATACGCTGCACGTCTACCAGTACAGTTTGTCCGGCAAACGGGGAGGTAAGCAGCAGCGTCCAAAGTTCAATAAAACACAATTTTATGGTCTTGCAGACGTACTTAATTTGGCTGTTTTCTTATTTTTCTGCTTTGCTAGTGGAAGGTGGTCGAAGTCGATTGCACCTCATCGATCTCGGAGGCTGTGCCAACCGGAGTGGAGGACTTCCTCTGTCTGGCATCGGAAATGTGTTGTTGGCGATACTCAGCGGACAGAAACATCCACCCAATAGAGACCACCCGTTGACACCACTGCTGCGGGATTGCTTGGCACCATTGACCTGCCATGTGGCGATAGTGGCCCATGTGGCGCATTCTCAGGTAAGCAAAGGGGGTGGGAGAATTAGTTTTTGAAGACGGTTTGCATGAATTTTAGCATTGCTTGCAGACTCACACCGATACCTTGACAACCATCCAGCTGGCATCTCGTATTCATCGAATGCGTCGGCGGAAGCCCCGTCATCACTTGTTTGCTGGACGGGCAGCAGAGCTCGCCGGGTCATCCGGGCACCAATCCGGAGGTTCTTCAGAAGGTCCCGACCCGTCCAGCTCAGACTTTTCCCAGGACACCGTAATCTACGTAGGTCCATGCGACGACGCGACCGATGGCGAACATCCACCGGTCTATCTGCCAAGCCTGAACTCCGGTGACAACCGCTGTGCCATGAGCAAAGCCCTCAAAGGTTCAGCGATGGAGAAACCCACCTCTACCCCAACAGCCTCACCACAGAAAAAGAAAACTACTTCCACATCCAAGCGTAAGAGCGAAACCCTGCCCCATCCTGGGAGAATTAGTTTGTTCAAACCCGATTCTTACCTCCTTACAGCTCAAAATCCTGCCCCAGCACCGATCCCTACTCGTACCGATAGTCTTAAGCGGAATCAAACGTACAATCAGCAAACCGTTGCCGTGGGACCAGAACTGGTGGCCAGTGCCATTCAGATCGCTTCCCAGCATGCCTCTCCGAAAATTGTTGCCGGAGCCTTCAAGCACGTTACCGGTGTGAGTAGAGGCTCCAATATCCCAACGCCCAAGGGTTCTCCCATGAGAAGACCCAATCAAGCCACGGGCTCATCTGCGGCATCTACGGTTAGAGAAAGTTCTTCCCGGCAAATCAGTGAAGAAAAATGGATCGACGGCCCACGGGTATCGAAGTCCAAGGTCCATGAAGCTCGACACCTTCTGAGGGAGATCAATCACGTAAAGAATCATGAAACCTGGATTGATGGCCCGAAAACAGCGAATGCTACGCAGGTCCTTCTTCCACCAGCAGCTCACAGCAATCAAAGCTACGGGTTCATGGATAGCCACAAGAAATGCATGATCCGGCAGTGGGTGGAGAATCAATCCATGCAACTGCTACAATCCGTATCTGCCAACAATTCTCCGGTTCACAGTAGACATCACAGCTACAATCCACCACGGTTCAAACCGAGCAAGTCGGACGAAGACGGGTTCATTCTGGAGCTGGAACGTCAAGAAGAACTGGTGAATCCTATCGCTTTCCGAGGATTCACCGCTACTAGTGAAGTGGTCAACAGTTCCGAATGCCATGTCCGCACAGGTCTTAAGCAAGCCTACAGCTTGGATAATCCCGATGTGCAGCAAATCGCCAATATGCCACTGTATGCTACGGTTACACCTTCCACCATGAAAGTCACTACGGTGAATGCTTCCTCAAGTACTACCGCCCCTTGCATCCCAACGGCAACGGCTACAACCAACGACAATCAATCAGAGAAATCGCATCCTCGTTCGTCGCATACCAGCGATAAACCTGTAAGCAAGCAAGGCGACAGTCAAGAAGAGGAAGACCAGGACAGTGGACCTTCGGAGGTTCCTCCGGCGTTGCCATTGATGGATCCGCTGGGTTCGAGGGAGATTTCTCACGAGAGTATTCACCATCTGTGTTCACGGCATGTCTCACGCGACAACATGAGTGTACACAGTCAGCACAGCAACAACGTGGGAATGATGGACTGTGGCCTACAGGTGACGGAGGAAGACATCGCCAGGACCATGGGAGGGTGAGTTTCAGGCGTTCTGAATTTGTAGGACTGAGGTCATAATTTTCCTTTCTGTCTCCACAGGGAACATCCTCTGAGTGCGTTAAGTCACGGAGATGTTTCAGTTGTATCGAGCTTCAATGTCGCTGGAGACGCCTTCAGCGATTGTGTCATCGGAGATAGCATGCGGTAAGTTCTAGACAATCGAAATTGTACCCCTAGAAATCTATCTCTAACCCCCAATCCACAGAAACCAATTCGACCAGCTCGCACGGTTGCGGGAGATCTTCACCTCCCAGCTAGCGATGGCCGAAGTGACCCCGGCCTTCCGTCTAGGTGACACTGGTAGCGTCTACAGCGAACCTGCCTACCGATTCAACACTGGTGCGGCCAGTGTTTGCAGTGAACCCGCGTACCGTCCACCAAGCCCTCGATGCCGTGACTGTCGACAGTCATTGTCCCTCTCTAGAACTCCCAGTCAATGTTCTCTTCCCAGCTTGACCGGGATCGTTGCGATAGCTGGGATGGAACAATACGCTTCCCTCAGACATCCCGACGGTGCGTCGGATCCGAACCTGCCAAAACTAGGAGAAAACTCCGAAGAACTTCTAGACCCGGAAGAACACATCCGCGAAAACCCGCTAGCCGAGCTCGACGAACAGGAAGCTCTCAAAGGTAGCACTTCTTTACTGCCCCAGCAGACCCTCCCCACTCTTCCGTTGCTCCCGCTGTCAACTCCGGAAGCCTACGACAGCGGTCACGATTCGACTCCCCGAACGTCCAAACATTCCGGCATATCTCGACGGGCGGAAAGCGGTTACCACAGCGTCGGAACCGTTCGGGATAGCGACGAAAGCAGCTTCGGATCGGCTGCCTCCCGTGCCAATCAGAAATCGAAGAAACGAAACCGCCACGACAAATCCCTTTGCCACTGGCTGAGGAATCCATTCAACTGTACCTATCCGGACACGGAAGGGGACGTAAGTGACTTTTAGGGGTTCCTTCCGGGCAAAGTGGACGATTGTTGCATCGCTAAGTAGCTTAAATCAGTTTTGAATAGCATTTATGAGTTTTGCATTGTCTGTTGAAAAGCCAGATTAGTTTGCTTGATAGAGGGCCCACCAGGGAAGGAAATTTGCAAGACAATAAACGAAATCGCAGCTTCTTTCTGTTTCGCGCGTCTGGACGAAAAGTAGATCCATCGAAAAAAGACTAAACTATTTTTAACACCGGAAGCGAGCTTGAGCAGAAACCCTGCAATGCCGAATCAAGCGTTGTTTATGTTCGAAGCCGAAATCAGTGGTGCATTTGGGACTAAGCTATTTGTACAGTAAACAATTTTATAGACTATATATTACGGTAGAGGGATAGTGTTATACATCGTGGATAGAGAACTATGAAGTCTACACAAATACCAATAACAGCCATCGTTGCTCCTTACTGTTTACAAGCCTGTCAAGTGTCAGTGTGCTGCGCTATTCTCATGTTACCTTGATACATCTATGTATTCCCCATTGGATAGGTGCTTGAATTTTGTGTTCCGGAATCAGATCAGATTTGCCGTTTCGATAGGAAGCCACTTTGCCAACCGAATCCAGCGACGTAAGTAGTTTGTTCTCTTTAAACAAATAATTTCAGAATAGAACATTGCTACTTTTTGAGGAAATTTAAAGAAATTTAGCGTGTTCTTTTTCGGAAACATTTTATAATTTTTCTTCGAACAAACTTTGATGACATTTTTCAAGACGGATTTGAGAATTGACACCTCTATCGTTTATTAGGCCACGGATCGTTTATTAGGCTGCCTTTCTAGTTAAGTTGAAACCACGTTATTCTTTGATGCCGGATAACTCGCCTCAATCAATAATAAACTGTTTCGATAAATATGCACTCATTATATTGCAATTATGTCCCTCGAACCGTGGCGTGAAGCAATCGATTATAATTTATTATTAGTACCAAATCCGGAATAAACAGCAGCGAACAAAACGAGAACCAACTCCTACCCGTACGTCGTTGCACTGCTGGATTTGGTTTGCAAGGTGGTAACAAACCAAATTGAATTATTATTCGAACCCGAGAACCGGAAAACCGACACTCAGTCACTGTTACCTCCATCTGCTCCTTCTCTTTCATTCCCACTGCATCGATCCGTTGCTTTCTCTCTACGAGTAAAATCGTGCTTCCGGTTCAATTCCTGTTTGTAATATATATATTATATTGATATGTCGATATTGATGTATAAAGCCCTCCAAATCTTCCCTTTCCCCCTCAGTCGACATAGTGGAAGCGCATAAATCTGTTGAATCGAATTATTTAAAACGAATTAATTCATAATATTGATATTGATTTCGCACGTCGTCGTCGCAGCGAACCAAAAAAAAAAGCATTGAAAAATCAATCCAACCTATTATGGATCCGATATAGCCAATTTGATTCATTTCCAACCGTTCCTTCCTCTTCGACTTCTCCCGTCCCCAGCCACGAGCTGTAATTAATCAGTTATCCGCAGTAGCCCATCAACGCAGCCGTCAGCAATTGGAATGGAAATTGATCCCAATTTCACCAAGCTGACCGGTCGGGGGATTCCAAAAGAAGTAAAACAAAAAATAACCGATTCCCTCCCGTTGGACTCGCGAACAGGAGAAGGAAGAGAAAAAGTTCATTTTAATGTGGATGAAAAATCAATCCCACGACAGAAACAATTGTTTTCGGTTAACATACATTGCCAGAGGCGATTAACAGGAAAAAGCGAACGAACCAAAAAACCCCAGCATTCATAATCGGACAAGAATGAAAATCGATATCCAATAGTTTATTTCCGAAATTCTCCAATTCCCCTCCTCCCCTATCGCAATTGCTGGTAATCCCTCAAACAGAACCATTTTCGATCATATTCATATTATACACGCAAAAACAAAAGAGCTGGAAAAAATGGATGAAGCTTTTATCGACAACGACTACACTAGAGTAACAATGGAACGGTATATAAAAAAAGGAAAATAACAAAATCTGCTAAAAAATGAACAACCAACCAGCCAACCGGTAACGGCATCGTAATCGATGAATATATTGTGCTACTACCAATCATCATACCAATCTCGTAGGGTGAAATTATTATGTATGAAATATTATTATTATTGCTATTATATTATTATACAAACAATATTATTAGCGAAAAACCGTGCGGGCAGCGAAAGAGCACTGTCATTATAATAAAAACAACCAACACAAAAAAGTAATTTTATACAAAGCCAAAATGTATGCTCGATTGTGTTTATTGTCGTTTGATCCGATATCCGAAATCCATTCCGATAAATGGGTAATTTAGCAAGCGTTTTAAACCCGGGGTAAGTATTTACGCGTGATTCATTATAGGTGAACAAAGCTGGCCGCAGCTAATTATATAACGTCGAGCTTTTTTTTTTAACTCGGTAAAAATCTTCAAAGGGGTCTAACTTTAACGAATTTGAATGAAAATTCCTGGAAATTTGGCTGCTAAAATGAATTCAAGGTTCAAGACATGATGAATGTGTCCCGGTTTCTGCACAGTTAATTATTGAGAGCAGTGCTGATAAAAATCGAGAAGTAGGCTGCGCTAAAAATCTGACGTGTTGTTTTTTCAGCTGCGTTTTTTCCTTCCGTAAATTGAACAATTATGATTTCAAATTACTTCAAAGTATGTGACAAAATTTATTTCCAAGCTAAAAAATGATAAAAATCATTTATACTACACTCAATTTAGTAAAAAAAATCTTAGTAGATAGACTCACTACCTGCATGAATTGGAATTTTGACATGACAACCAGGGCTCTACATTTTCGAAGCTCTAAAATGAACTCGTGTTTTTTTCTCTCATACATACGTGTTCGACGCTTCATTTCTATAACGCCTAGCTAGACTATCAGCAAGAAACGAAAATAAAAAAGCAGGACGCTTAGAAGGAAAGGCTGGCTGTGGAACTTCTCGTCGTTGCTTTGCTCATCGCTTTCAATGTAACTAACGTCGATTTTCTAGTTAAACGAACCTCATTATGGCTTTCAATCCCCTTTCACGAACACTCTATCACCGCTCTTTCAATTTGTTTAAAATGCGTTATGTCCCGTTTTTGATCATTTTTTTTAGATAAATATATGGATGGAAGATAAATTAAAAATATTACGTGTAATCTTCACGTCTTTTCACGTGAGAAATGCTTTAAATGTGTTATTTCATTTTCCGTCATATACGTCATGAAACCTCTGTTGATGTGTTTCATGAAAGAGAAAACTATCAAAGTCGAGCGCTCTTTCGCTCATCCGTTTCACCGAAGCTTGAAAGGAAGACCAATGGAGCGACGGGAGAAAGAGAGACAAGCGATTGAACATTTGTTTGTGCACGCCGACTGAGGTTCTAGCATGCTGCGAAGCTGTTCGACTTTAACAGAAAAAGAAAGCCAGCAGTCTCTTCGTCGCATCGATTTGGTCGATTGAAGCTGATATTGTGACGCCCTGACAACAGACTCTTGATCAAGGCAACCTCTGAGTATCGAAATCAACAATCTTTTTCTTCGTTCGTGTAGGAATGGGCATTTTGAAAAAAAATCGATGTGGCCGAATCGTTTCTTAAACTGAATATAAAATTGATCCTCGAAAATATCGAAAGAAAAAAAAATCGATTAGAGAAAAATCGTTATTTATAATATTTGAATTACGCTTTATAATCTACTATTAGACGAAATATTCCTCTTCCTGTTATTTTGGTGTATGTGTGTGAGCATTAATTTGTATAAAGTCAGTTCACAAAAGCAATTGCACTCTTTTTAAATGTTAACACCGAATTATTAAGAAATATTGCGAAAATTAAGATTATTCAACCTCATGTCCATATCTGAGCTTTCAAAATCTTCTGCAGGTATTTTAATTCACCTATTCAATTTTTTTGTTGCATCAAGGAGTCCTTTTTTTATTGCAGACAAAACAGCTGGATGAAAAAGGAAGAATGGGTCCAAAGTACACATAACATAAAAAGAAACAGGCCAAGATTGAACCGGTCTTTAGCAAAATTTGAGGATGATGAATTTAAAATCGATTAAGTTTAAATAAAGACATATTTTTGGTATAATGAAATACCATTTTGTTTATCATGTTTTAATCTGATTAAGTAAGAATTCAATTAACCACTTCATTCGAGCAGTTAAAATAAAGTTTACTACCACTCGAACTTTGAAATAAAAAAATATTTTGAGATTTTTTCTTCCAGAACCACGAGAAAAGTAGCCAACATTTGTGCGTTTCATAAAAACAGAAATTAGTTGGTCCATTTTTGTGAAATCGCTGGTAGAAAATCACGCCAAAACTGCTTGACAAAGTGGTCAATTGATAAATTTTAATGAATGAAAAATCGATATCAACTTTGAAAAATCGATTTTGTCAAACATCGAACAGAAAATGATCGGATGAAAAAAATCGATTTTTCGTGGCAAAATAATCGATTCTGTAAAAATAGCAACGACATCGCCCATTCTTACATTCGTGCCTTGATGTACACGCAGGCAAAATAACGTACGAATTCGATAAGAAATACTTATGAATTTTAGCCACAAGAAATCAGTATGAATTTCATTGATTTGCCTTATAAAAATAATGTTGACAAAAAAATATAAATCGGAGCAGACTGAAACCGAACCATGGACATTGAGCTTCCCGACCAGAACGTTATAACAAAATTATATCATGATTATATCAACTTCTGTTATACATAACAACCATTGATATAACCTTGTTTTAAGAGCTCTGTGGTGAAAGAAGGAATAAGAAATCATCATGGTTTTTGTTTTTCCTTTGGTTTTTTTTTTCCGCTGATCTTGTTTTCCATGCTGAGCACCAATGCTACCGACGTGCCAGGAAGGCAGCTCCCACAACTGGACCCTACCTATCAACTCATGAACCGGGGACCAACGGCTTTACTTCCCATCTGAAGGAAGGCGTGATCAGAGATGTTTATACCTCAGAACATCCCGGCGGCGCCGACTGGGATTGAACCCAGGCCTGCTGGGGTGAGAGGTAATCACGCTTACCACTACACCACCGGCGCCGTTGATGTGATCAGAGATGTTATGCATCAGAACATCCCGGCGGCGCCGACTGGGATTGAACCCAGGCCTGCTGGTTTGAGAGGCAATCATGCTTACCACTACACCACCGGCGTAGTGGTGATATTTAATATAAAATTGATACACAAATTGTTAGAATAAAATTTTAACTAAGTTTGTTAGCATTAGTAAAACGAAAAATGAAACGGTTTTTTTTTTTTATTTTTGTATTGTTTTAGTCTTGAGCCGGTAGTATTACTTAAATGTATATAAGGGCTAAGGAAAAGTTTTTCACATGGAATTGGGCTAATAGGGTTAATATCCCTAATGTCAACCTAACTATCCCTAATACTGGGCCCATAAATTAATTTCGAAGGCAAGCATTTTTTGATAATGATAAACTAAAAATCAAACAAATTCATTTTTATTGTCCAGATGACGCATTGTTCTACGAAAAATTGAAGAACGGGAGATTTTTATTAGATCCATGGACTAAAGCTAGTGCTTTTTTCTTCTAT